TAACGTCGCTCAAAGGTTGTCTATTTCAAACTGTTTGTTAGTGCAACCTTTATAGGTGAGACGTCTAGATCTCATTAGATAAACTCGTCAATACTTTGAATGTATACTCAGTACTATACGAAAAGTATAGAGTGATAATCTGGTAGGTAGATTTCCTGTCTACTTTCTAAAGCGGGATGAGTTATCCACCACTCCTGATGGCATTTTGTGTTTGAATGATCATGTTGTTATTTCTCCTTCATTATGTAAATCTGTCCTTGAAGATCTTCATAGTGCACATTTAGGAGTTGACAAAATGAAGTTCTTAGCAAGGCTCACATATTGGTGGCCAGAGATAAATGCGGATATATGTCGTACAGCAAAGAATTGTGGGAAATATCATGAGTTGAAACGTGAGACTTCAAAGTGGACTCCATGGTCAGTATCGTTTGAAGACTGGCTGAGAATTCATGCAGACTATAGTGATCGATTTTTTGGCAAGTACTATGCACTTGTAACCATTGATTCCTTTTCTAAGTGGCCTGAAGTTTTTCTACAACTTTACTAAATTCTGATTTAACAATCCAAGCATTAAGAAAATTTTTTAGTCGAGAAGGGGTTCCTATGGTGTTAGTGATTGATAATGGCTCTCGTTTTGCTGAGAATGCAGTCACTACCTGATTGAATGGCATGAGGTGCAAACACCTGTTCACTTCTCCCTGGCACCCTTGTTCCAATGGTCAGGCAGAAAATTTTGACAGGACATTGAAAATTGATGTTGATTCTATTGATGCTTCAACATTTAATAAACTTGAGAGGGGATTAGATACATTACTACTGCATATAGAAATGCTAAATATTCTGTAGAGGAATAAACTCCATCAAAACTATTAAAAAGAAGAATTCTTCGCTCGAATATGAGGTACTTAGCATCTGCAGAAGCTACATATTATCGTGGGAATGATCTTTACACAGCCATGGGGATTGTGGTAAAGAATGTCGGGAAATCTATGGTGTGGATTTTAGATATAAATGATTTCAGTACATACAATCGACAAGTCGATCAAATAGGATTCCATAAACCAGACGAATCCGTTCCAATTTCAGTTGTTAATTCTAATACTATTGAGTATATTCTAGATCATACAGAGTCTATATCCAATAGACGGTCTGACAGACACATAATGAACCTAAGGAGTACATATTCCATTGATTACAGAAACTTAGGTAATAATTTAAGTTATTGCAGTTGTGGTGTTTGTATGAATTAATGATTCTTTTGTACTTGATATAAGCCTGATTTTGAATTTTAAATACAATACGTTCGTTTGTGTTCATTTAATTCTGTCTGGCTTCCATTTCACTATTTCAGGGATTCCTAGTTCGTATAAAAATTCATATACTTTACACATTGGTTGGAAAGTACTTTCAAAATTCCCTGGTTAGTTGAACGTCACTGTTTGCTCTTCCCTGTCATACGGTCACATTCATAATGATCTTATGAAAGGCTTACAAAGGTATTGTGACACATATTCTACGCTATAAAATCCAGGTGACCTTGTCGCTTCATAACCTGAATCTTGAAGACTAACCTGCAGGATAACAAATTTTCCATAGATACAAACAATACTGTTAAAATGAATCATCGATCGATTGTTTCCGAAATCAAAATTCACTTCACATAAAGTTCCTATCTCATTTTAAGTAATGAAATCAGATTGTCATTAAAATTTCGGTTCATAGTTTCATTCATTCCATATGCTTCAAATAAAGTTGTTGAATACATTTTTTTATCGCTTCAAGGTCAAAATACTGGCCTATCAAGATAGTTTTATATGTTCAATATTATAAATTAAGAATCTAGACCGTGACTAAAAACCTCTTTCTCAGAAGGTATGACATATGGATCGATATGTCCAAGGTCATCACTCGTCTTTAAACCAGTGCAAGATAGTCATATTGCCTGAATTAATTAATAGTTTAGTATACCGTAACATGGCGGTGATCGGTCAGTCATCATTTTGAGAATCTATATTTCACTATTTATATGAGTTACTATTACTAAATAGAAATCCAAAACATTAAGAATACCGGCTACGTCAAAATTTAAGCCAAGTAATTGAAACAACAAAGAGCGCTTCGTTAATTTGAAACGTTATACGGATTCACTTGTTGGTTTGCTAAACTATTGAAATTCTAGGAACTTTACATAATATCACTTCATCTGAAATAGGATTTAGTGTTAACCTCTTTTAGAAATCTAACAATTCAATATGGCGCCAGTGAAACAACGGAGATATATATGGTTGTCTAGATTTCTACTACTCGGAACTCGGTCTGAATTACAGACAACAATGTTCTGGTATACTCCTCTTAAATATTCACATTATAATTACATTAAACCTCAGTTCTTTGGTTATCAACACCGAACATTTTTAGTCGTTCGAATAGACACGAAATTTCCTGATGTTCAACAGCAATAGAGAGCTAAACTAGGTTTCAGGCAATGACTGATGTACTTCTATCCTCAGATTTTTACTCCACATACTGAAATTCATCACCACATCAAGTGTATTAGTTACGTGCTAGATGTATGACTTCAAGTATGACATATATACACTAACCTTTTATAATAGAATATCTCTTAAACCAGATAGTGATGTTCCAATCATAACTCACGCTAACAAAAGGATAACTCGTAGCGTGATAGGGGTTAGTATTTGCGTTAGCGCATCGGAAACATTGTTTTCGATTAGGTGCAAGAGCATCCAAACAACTGATGGAAGGGAAAAGAATATTTTCAACTGATGCCTATGAAAACAAGTAGTCTAAACTTATTTAAAATACAAGAAATACATTCAAAAATACACAAAACAAAGTTACTATGGGTGTTATTCACTTGAGCGAAAACAATCTTTGTAAATCTTCACCTTATTTTTAATTCGTGTTCAGCAGGCTGTGATTGGTTTACATATTTGCTCAAGGTCAATGGCCGATGTATGTGACCAATCAACATTCTTTCTACTTTTAATACTATTTCTTACTGTATCAGTTTGTGAAAAAAATATATCACAGCAGTGGCGTCCAGGTTAACGTACCTATAGCGTGCAACTATTGGGTTCACACATAAGATTAGTTACTATTATGTTGTCGTTAAATTCTGTGTCCACTCAGAGTATGTGTACACAAATCGCTGCTTTGTGTCCAGAATGCACAACGGGTAACCTAGGTGCTTTGTGTTCTGCGTTTTTACTTCGCTAGTGCGTGGGATCTGGTATTAGATAATCAACAAACTGTTATGATTTCGTAGGAAGATGGGCTTTCGTTACGAATACGTTGGTTATGTGGTTGGTGGGGGGTTAGTGGTACAAACAGTTTCACGTAGAATATGCTAGGTACTTAAAACCTAAAAACGTAAAGCGCTTTCCTAGATAATAGAAAATATAGTCTCAGTGACGAGAGAGGTCTAACTAGAGCTGCCTAGTCCCCGTAGTATATGTTCCTCCCAAACAGATTAGTACTACCTCAAATTACCAAGGAACCTAGTAATCCTAGCACATTCGCCCAATGAGGTTCCATCAAAATGCGAAGCCACTGGCAGGAATTAGGAGTGGTAACCAACCATAAATACAATGAAAACAGCAACAAGTCAGAGAATAAGTCATTTGAAGCTGTCTTCAGGGCGTTGACTAAGAGAAACTGTAGCTTGTGAGGAAACTCTTAAAATCTAAATTAGTTATAGTACATGGCATGATGTAAGGTGCGCACCAGATTTATTTGATAAACACCGTTTATGAAACGGTGACTAATAATATGCTCCTTCATGATTATCCATGGTCTGAAACAGTGTAGAATTTCGAAGTTGAAACTTCTTGAACTTTACAACAAACTAAGAACAATCAGGCGGATATTAGGAATTCTGGTCACAACTTATTAGTGAAGACGTTTGTAGATATCAGACGTTGTCCGAACAGCCTATTAAGCAACCATCTCCATATTTTACCAGAAAAACACATGAGCTCTCCTTACCTACATAGCTCACTGTCGAAATGGTTGTTTAAAGATTTACTTTCCTTTTTACCGTATACAGATTTGAGAACTTAAAAACTGACGATACTCAGCTCTTAGTAGTGTTAAGGAATCTTGCTCAAAGTTCTGGGATTAGTATGTATTAGCCATCAGAAATGCGACAAGATATCCCCTCACACAATCACAAATATATATATCACTTCAATTTGGTACTTTTCTGTTTTAACTAAACTATTGAAACTGTATCTCGTTAGGTGCGAAGTATAACTTGCTATTGGCTGAATACTTGGTGGTAGTAAATTACTAGGGAGCTTAGTTACTAAGAGACTTACAACTACCCAGCTGACAACGTGACATAACCATCTTGGTTTTATTATGAACCAGTTAACTAACCTTACATCACTACTCGGTGAGGATACAGCATCACAGTAGTTTCACTTGAAAAACTGAAGGTTGAGTACAATAGATTCGCATAGAACTGCTTAACAGCTATCACAGAAGCCTTAGTGCTTAGCCAAAGGTTTACCACTTTGTTGAATATCATCCACGGATGATGGGGAAATCTTGTGACACACAAATTGATTGTAGCAACCTACAATGCCCTCATCCTGTGAATAACCACACAACAACACTGGGAATCAATCCTCTAACTGCATTTAAGAATATTATCTATGAGTCGGAAAATAGCGATCCAATTTCAGTAAATGTGGATATTTGTTCGAATATGTATGATATTGTGTACATCGTAGTGCGGATTTTTCGGTTTTAAGGAGAATGTAAATAACATGAAAACAGTAGAGGAAGCCACATCCCCTAAGAATTCAAAGTAAACTCAGATAAGGTTTTAAGTATGTGCATAATAACGCTAAGAATCCACCATTGAAACCTGCAACAAAGAAACAGCAAACTTAGTTGTACATCGGAACATTGAACCGCGAAATAATATTTTCAACGCTAATCTCCAATATCTGAAAACAAAAAACATGCTCTTTCACTGTGATACATATTTCGTTTAGATCACAAAATATTAAAGTATATAACTGAGGGAAAATCAATTTAGGGCTAAAATCCCTGAATACAAAGAAAAGAAAATTTACATACATACATACATACACACATCCTGACATAGATGAGAACTGTACAGACGTATTTTTACTGGGTAAATGCAATAGAAAAAGTACACATATCTTCATTTATAAAGGAATATTTCAAGGAGGGGGGACATTAATCAAATCCCCAGGTTTATTGAAAATTTCTTGATGCTTTTCAACTGACATAAGCATTGACAACATTTGACCATGAACTATATCGACGTAATCGATCAACTGATCTAACAATAAAATAATACATATTATTCGCTTGAACATGAGTTAATGTACACGCCATAGGCAAAGGTAAGGCGGCTACCTCACCAACCTACAGAAGAAACAAAATAAAAGCAAAGTATATGATATATTCATGGAATTATCACAATAAATAACTAATGACCTCAAGTAATTAAGTACAATGTTTCGTTTCGAAGACAATAATAACAATTAAAGATCCGATCTTATCGAATATTGTTTAAATTGTGGGGTAATTTAAATGGTTCATTTCTTTTTTTTTAAGTATGTGCTGATGATTTTGTCTTAGAATGATAGTGAAAGTTTTACAACCAAATCAACTAGTTGAAAGAATATAACAATGATGAAATTCTCATTCTGAATTACAAATATTGGCCGTCACTGTCTGAATACACTAAGATAGATTCCCACCATATATTTCTACGTTTGTCTACGTGAAGTAGTTTGACCTCTTTGATATCGGAATAAATACAACACTAATGGTTCTCAACAGTATTCTTAAGTCAATAATTAATGATTGAACTTGACGGAAACCATCATCATCAGAATTCCCAAAATGACGATTCAGTTTTTAATATATATTCACATATAACGTAGTTCAAAAGTTATTGTCTTCATTTCTAACCTTGAACACTTCTGTGGATTTTTCTATAGTCAGTCAGTCAATCAGCTACAATGAAGGATCAGGCACATATATACATCGATTCAAGTTTTGTCAATGGTTATAAACGATTATTTATTTACAATATTATAAAACAAATGGAATATAAACTAAGCAAATAACTTATCAGTACGGAAGTTTACAGTGAATATATGATGAATGAATTCAAAGAAAGAGTATACATGAATATTTCATACTGAAATTATGGAAATTAGTTAGTTAGAAAGATGAGAACAGTACAAGATTGTGTAAAATATACAACCAGGAAGGTAACAATACATGTTTATATACTTTGATCTCTTCATTTTATCATTATTATTATTATGATTACTAGTATACACACCTTTTTCCATGGTAATGACGTTTGAACAGTGACTAAATTGACTTCAGATGAAGCATAACTATAAATTTCATAAGAAATAGCAGGTTCAAATGATCCAATTGGATAGGTAATAGACCATTGTAAACAAACTCCTAGAAAAGAAAAAGAAGAGCAAAATGAAACAAGATATATGTTATGTCTAATTATATTTTTATTAACATTGCTGCTACAAGTATTTCAACATATTTACTATGCCCCCAAATACCCTGGTATGGCCGAGAGTGAGGAGAGTCCGCTCTCCTTCATGAAATGCTCTCACGTGGTCACGTAAATACAACCACTACCAGGGAAGTCCCACTCACTGCCTTCTCGCACCACGGGTGTTGTTTACGAAATAGAGAGGACGAAAACCGAATGTCCAGCGCTTTAACCAAGTTGGTGGATATGGAGAGTCCACCTAGAAAAGTTGGAAAACCCTGATCCCAAACCAATGGTGCACATGGACTCCAGTATCCTGAAGCAACAAATGGCGTATGAGTCAATTATTGGTCACCGGCTACCATGGGACTGCATCTCCTTACGATGCTCCACTACCTTGTGGATCAGACCTTTCGGTCGAAGGCTCCGGTTATGGCTCCCTAAGTAAACCACCTTCTTCGGTTTGGGCACCCGGGCAGTATCACAGCCCTCACATATATCAAATGAGATATGTGTGGCGCATGTGTATTTGGTGCCTCCTTGTACCATTATTTATGTGTTAAAATAAAATAAATAAAAGATAACATATTTACTATTCATCTCATCAGTCATGTCACCACAAACACTAGCACCCAATACAACTGTTATATACAAAACTTTTGATTCCTTCTAACAGTTCATCAAAAAGAGTGAGTATAGACACAAGGTTCGTACCAAATATAGGCAAAAATACCGTGTATTTAAAAAGTGTAAAATGCATGCTTTACTCAGAGACAAATGAATTGGCAACTAATTGCGATTTGGATAGATTGTGTGTCATTACATAATAAGACAGATATCATCCGCATACTCAAAGTTGGAAAGTTTTTCTTTACGTAACAGATCCACACCATCATTACCTAATTCTATCAGAACTGTTTCCAGAACTTATTTCATTAGCTTTATGTAAGGAATAACAATATTGAGACAAGTAGAAAACAATCATGTTGATATGGAAATCAACATGCTTTATATTCATTGTAATTTTTAAGGTAAAAGTAAAAAATAAACTAATTACAGGGGAAAAAATTACTGAATAGTGTGTGCTCATTATAGTATAAACTAACTAACCTTCAGCGGCTTCTGCAATAGTTAGCTGAGGAACAGGTTGCAATGGAAGATGGTTGATATTAGTTACTGGTTGTGTTGGAACTGGAGGTAGCAAAGCAACAGGAAGTAGTTGAACATCGGGAATAACAGAGTATGGTAGAGAATTGGTTATTTGATTAGTAGTTATATTCTGAGCTTGAGATAAAGATGCCAAGTCCAAATATGATTGCTTTGAATTCCCATTATCCAGACTATTACCAGTGTCAAATGTGAATGAGGGTGGAACATTTATTGTGGAAATAATCCCGTTCTGTAAATCTTAATATGAGTAGAAAAATAAGTGTTAAGGTAGAATCAAGAAAGTACTCCCAAAAGTATTTATAAAAACCCGAAGTAGATGATTAAATAATGAGGCATGTTGAATAACTTGCTAACCCTGAGAATTTCATTGGTCTCTGATCACTCGAATGTTACTAATCTCCATCGCTTGTAGAACAGGCAAGTTGTCCGTCTGTCAACTAATAGAAGTATCTTGAGTAGCAGCCCCCTCTATATTACAATACTGACGAGAAAAACGGGTTATGAAAACAGATGTGTGTGGGGTTCAAGTATATTATTGTAGTACGTTTGAAACCCTACATTATCGACTTATTTCGATTATTAGATTGTCTTGATCTCATCACCGTATTATTTCTGATTGTTGTCAATTGCTTTCATTTCTAAATATAAATGGATTCTATGTGCCTACTGAGTCACCGGTTCAGTTTTTCCCTCTTCCGAATTATTTTATTTATTTATTTGAACATATAAACACTGGTACAAGAAAGCACCGAATAGATATGCGCCACACAAACCATTCAATTTGTGTGGGGGCTGTGGTACTGCCCGGGTGCCCAAATCGAAGCGGGTGGTTTTACTAGGGGGGTACACCCCGAGCCTTTGGCCTAAAGGTCGAAACCACAAGGCTGTGGAGCAACGTAAGGAGATGTAGTCCCATGATAGCTGATGACGAACAATAGGTTCACACACCATTTGACCCCTTAGGATCCTGGAGCCCATATGCATCATTGGTTTGGGATCAGGGTTTTCCAGCTCCTTTAGGTGGGTCCTCCGTATCCACCAACCCGGTTAAAGCGCCAGGCATTCGCTTTTCGCCCTCTCGATTTCGTAAGCAACACCCGTAGTGCGAGAAGACAGTGAGTAGGACTTCCCCTGGTAGTGGTTGTATGCACATGACCATGTGAGAGCATTTGGAGAGAGAGAACTGACTCTCTCCCACTTTCGGCCATACCAGGGCATTTGGGGGCCTTCCGAATAATCGCACTTACTGCTCCTAACACTTACCCACTATATGAGATACCTTCTTACTAGACACAAACCTACCAAAGGCCGGACGTTACATTATCATTGGCGTTTTTAAAGCATTGTTTGCAGATGGTGCACCGAGTGACGCTAAGCATAGATCTAGGGTACTAGATGAAAAAAGTAAGTCGACTAACCGGCAATAAAGCTTCAATTGAAATGGTTAAGATATATGTTACTTGTGCCTGACTAACGTCTACTCTGATGTACAAAGCTGATTTAGGTCAGTCAGTCAGTCAGCTACAACGTAGAACCATGCACTTATGTGCATCGGTCCAGGTTGCCATACCGCATCAGCACAACAAGATGAACACCGGATTCATAACAGTGGTTAGGTAAAAGGTGGTAATATATAAGAGAAAGATTGCATATAGAGATATAGTACAAGAAGAAAGAATTGGTTAGTAGAAAGAAAGATATGAAGCGCTTTTAATCTCTTAGTATAAGGGAAGAAACCGAGTGTATACACCTACGCCATTGTGATCGATTCTGAGCCATGTCACCAAGAGTCTCCAACCATTGGTTACGATAGTCACGCGGACCCCAACCAAGTAGTCTGCATCTACCAACATGGCTCAGACTAGAAGTTAGTGACTTCAAGCACTGATGCCACGTTTTGGTTTGGCCGCCCCTAACTTTCTTCCAACCATCCCCTACACCGGATAGCATTGCACGTCGTGGTAATCGGTGTTCAGGCATACGTAACACGTGGCCCAACCATCTCAGTCGATGAAGATTCATAACCTCATCAACTGATTTACCATCCTTTCCTAATACCCTGCGTCTAACCTCACTATTACTTACCCGATTATCCCAGCAGACGCCAGCAATGCTTCTAAGGCATCTGTGGTCAAATACTAGCAGCTTGCGAGTGTCTTCTACTCTTAATGGCCATGTTTCGCTACCGTAAAGTAAAACAGAACGGACTGCCGCGCAGTATACTCGTCCTTTTATTGATAGACGGATATCTCGCCTTCGCCACAGGTGACGTAAGTTGGCAAAAGCCAAACGAGCTTTTCGAATCCGTGCTGAGATTTCGTCCGATACCAACCCATTAGGGCTGATCAGACTTCCAAGATAAGTGAAGTAGTCGAACGCGTTGACAACTTCACTCCCTATCCTTAGTTCAGGTGTTAACGCAGACCAGTCCTGAAGCAACAACTTGCATTTCGAGGGAGAGAAGCGCATTCCAAACATTCTGGCATTGTTGCTCAGTGCTACCAGAAGACTTTGCATTTTGTCAGCGTCTTCACCAAACAGGACTATGTCATCTGCGTATTCTAAGTCGATAAGTGGACCTCCTGGAAAGAGATCAATACCCGAGAACTCAGTCGACGAGAAAGTTATTTCCATCAGTAGGTCTATGATGAAGTTAAACAAAAATGGGGAAAGTGGGCATCCTTGACGGACACCACTTGAGGTTGCAAAACTCGATGACAGTTCGCCATAAGCTCTCACTCGACTAGTAGTGTTCGAGTAAAGAGCCTTCACAAGGTTTATGTACTTCTGAGGTACGCCTTTCAATGACAGACACTGCCACAGAATCTCACGGTCTACCGAGTCAAATGCTGCTATTAAGTCAAGAAAGACCACCATCGTCGGACGCCGATAAGTGTGCCTGTGTTCTAGAACCTGACGAATGGTGAATATGTGGTCGATGCAGCCACGACCAGGTCTGAAACCAGCTTGGTTTTCTCGTGTTTGCAGTTCACGAGTCTTAGTTAGGCGTCTGATAATTATCGAGGCTAGTATTTTAGATATTATATTAGTTAAACTAATCCCTCTGTGGTTGTCACAGGATGATTTTGACCCTTTCTTATATATTGGGACGATAAGTGATTGTAACCAGTCAGATGGAATAACGTCTAACTCCCAGATCTTAGCTAAAATATTAGTCAACCTAATCGCTAAAATTGGACCACCATCTTTAAAGACTTCTGGAACCAGTCCATCTGGTCCAGCTGCCCTTCCTCGTTTCAGATTATCTATAGCCTTTTGAACTTCAGCAAGAGTTGGGGGACCTACTTCAATGTTCCATTCACGCTGTCTGGGAATGGAGGGTAGTTGTAGAGTCGCTGAAGGCCAGCTGAACTGTTCCCTAAAGTGTTCCGCCCATCGTTCTAAACGTCTGGACTGAGAGCAGATGAGAGTATCGTCTTTTTCCGATATAATCTCACTTACACTTGACTTATTAATTCCAGTTTCTTTTATTAGTCTGTAAAGTTGTCTTGTGTTCCCTATAGTCGCCGCCTTTTCCATCTCTTTTGCTTTCGTTGCCCACCACTGCTCACGGTCGTTTCTTAAACTTTTTCTTAACCTATATCTGATTTGTTGTCGCTCTTCATCATGTTCGGAACCTGATGGGACGAATTTGCGAGAATCCATCAGTGTGATAGACTTTGAAGAAATCCACTGGTTCTTTGAAACTCTGTGGTTTAAGTCGCTAATAGATGTCACTGCTGCTTCCACAGCTGCTTGTATGTCTTTCCAAGCAACATCTGGGTCAGCCTCGTGTTCAGAACTACTTAAGTGTGAACTCAGTTGTTCTTGGAACCTATTTTTAGTTTTCTCGTTACTCAATTCAGTTCTAATTGGTCTTTTTAATGTGGCTTTTTTGCGTCCGGTGAGGCGCAAGCAGATGCGTGCCCGTATTGAGGCATGATCGGAGTCCAAGCAGGTACTCCAGAATGAGCGACAATCTTCTACCGACCCTCTCCAACGATGACTGATGGCAATATGGTCTATTTGAGTCCATCGTTGGTTTGGTGTAGGGGGTCGCCATGTTAGACGATGTCTCTCCTTATGCTTAAAATTTGTGTTTGCTAAAAATAAGCGATTGTCTGAGCACAGTTGCAGCAGACGATCACCATTATCTGTTCGCTGTGCCGGAATGCTAAAATATCCACCTAAATGCCTTTCTGTTTGGTTTAAGCTACCTATCTGCGCATTGAAGTCACCCCCTACGAGTACTATGTCTGAGCGTTTAGCTTTCTGAAGAAGTTCAGAAAGCTTCCTGTAAAATTCATCCTTCACTTCATCGGAGCTGCAGTCAGTGGGAGCGTAGGCAGAAACGACAAAAAGGCAACGACGTGTGTCCCTATCCTTCCGAGTTCTTACGTAGCCGTTTAGCCGAACAGCACATAGACGACTGTTGATGGGGATCCACTCTAGCAGTGCTTGTTCCGCCCTCATGCTTAGTGCTATGCCTACACCTGCCAGTCCACGAAAACTGGCCATCGGATCACCAGATACACGTAGGGTGTATCTCGTTGGCTCTCCGTTTTGCCGAGGTGAGGTCAAGTGAATGACCACACTGGAATCCTGTATGCGTGTTTCGGAGACACAGCATACATCGATGGAAAGAGACTCTAGGGTTTTAGCCAAGGAAGCCTGCTGACCGATTTGACATAAAGTGCGTACGTTGAAAGCTCCAATGTGTAGTTTGGAGCGAGGTTTCAGTAGACCTGGGACAGAGTTTTGAGCACTAGAATCGTTGGCTATGGTGATGCTTGAGGCAGAAGCCGAAGGAGGAAGTTTAGGGTTGAAAGTCGATGTAGGAGGAATAATAGGAATTGAAGAGGAAGGTTGATTATGAATACAGTGGTCTTGGGTGCTGTTAGAGGTATGAGGGCGGTTATCACTTCCCGGTTGCCCACACCGTGGAAGGGTTCTTCTGGAGGTACCTGAAAAGGAAATTGGATTAGAGGCGGTCTCGGCGACCTGAGAGCGTGACCGCAGTGCCCAAGGGACAACTGCTTGAGGCCGGTCTCGCACGGCCTTTCCGTGGAAGGTTTTTGACGTGTTAGCTCCGTTCTTCAAAGAGCCTTACCGCCGGAGACGGAAATCCGTGAGGTAAGGTGAGGTGTGCATTTTTAGGGTCGACTTTTTCTAACCCCACCCCTCCTTGTGGGAAGGCAGCATCGCTGTCATGCTGGTTGTCTGAAGGAAACACCTTACTGCTGTCACACCTCTGTACAGTCAGCAGTACGACTTCGCCTTCGGACCTTAGGTTTGTTGCTTTTAGTCTTACCGCTCTTCAACCGACCTGTCTGACATGGTAGGACCTTGAGGAACGGTTGTTCCAGCCAGTATAGCTCGGTTGCTTCATCACGATAGGCAAGCCCGACCACCACGTCAAGGTAGCAACAACGGTCGGGAGCTGATTTAGGAGGTTAGAAAAAAATATACGAGTGGTTAAACCAAGAAAAGGGCAACAGTTCATGAAGTTGTCGAGCAGTGATCTGAGTAGTACTGTTAGGTGCATACTGCATAATCGAGAGCGATGCCATGCACGTAACCAATAGTTACAGACGCTAGGTAAAAACAGAAGAAATAGATTGTGGCTTGGGAGTTGCATTCATTTTTTCTATCTACCGTTAAAACTTGAGTGATACTATGATCGAAAGTTAGCAATGGTTTTGGTTCCGAGTCAGACAACATCATCGACATTAATTCATTTTCAGGTTCCCCAACAAGAAATATCCTTTCAATACATTGATTGCTATGATTTACTTATTGATTCAATAAACATAAACAATGGTACAACTGGGTAGAGTACCAAAATAAGTATGCACCATGGAAATAAGGAAATGAGATCGTGAATGGATAGAAAAAATACGAGTATAATCAAAAATAAATAAAAGAATGAAAACAAACGAACAAAAATAGTAAATAGTGAGAGTCCCTTTAGTTATTACATGAATATAAAGGAAAATTACGCCAGGACCTCCACGAGCTTATATTTCGAGCCATGTCTGATATGTCAAGCCAGTGAGTTGTATCGGACAGGAAGCCTTAATGGACCAACAGACACTAGTCTTACACAGTTTACTTCGTACAACAGCATTATGCTATAAAATGACCACCTTTTCACCTAGTTGCAGCATTGATAATCTGATAACCAATGCACGATATGGACGTCGCTGGGATGACAGTCGTCAGATCCACCGAAGTCAATGTTTTATGATGATACTAATTGAATTGCTGTCACTGTGCCTAAACACACATTGATGAACCTCAGCACTACTAACATGGCGCTGCCACCGGATGTCAGCAATCTTTCGGAGACAACGATGATCGAACAAAAAGTCGTCGCACACTTTCAACTTGGGGAGGTCAGGTTTCGCAATCCCAGAGCAGAATTGTTTTGACCAATGAAGTGTATACTGTACCCTTTTACAGTCGGATTAATATTACGACGGAGCCAAAGATGGTCCAAATTACCATGAGCCGATCTGGCTTTAATTATAATTAGACGGATCTTATCAGTCACTGCATCGTCAGCACTTATACAACTACTCGGGCAAATAAACTTCGACTACATTGGAATTTTCCTCAGTTCGACGATAGATTTGAAAAGAACAGATATAAGTACCATCCATTGGAAAAATTTCATATAAGCTTTATGGTTAAAGATGAAATTGAGAGTAAAATAATGAGGAATGAATAAAAGCATACGCTTGTGCATACTTGAAAGAGGTGTGGCACTGTGTTTATTTGTTTTTTTCGTATTTGTTGAGCCAGAAACCAAATGTTCTTCCCAAGCATTTTCTATATTAGTGTCTGATGTTAGGTCAATAGTATCATTGACCTGGACAGCTAAAACTGTACCTGATGCAGTTTGAGGAGGAACACATTGAAGTTCGAAAGTTTTTGGTAGAACAGATAATAATCTAGATGAAACAGAATTCGATGAAGTTAGATTCGGCTGTCGATTCGAAGGATTCACTGTTTGTATAGATCGATCTGGCGCGGATACCGAAGGAGAATGAGATAGTACAGGTAAACGAGGAGCTTGAGAAGAAAGAGTTCTCGACTGACCAATACCACTTGTTGGAGCAGGCAAAGGAATCTACCGGAAGAATCACGAGGAACACAAAAAAAATCAGACGGTCAATTACTTCATAGCACTGTATATCAGTATGTTTCAACAATAACATAAAATAATTGAGAATATTACTCACTCGCTCATTAATCAATTTCGTCAAGTCTTTTGACGAAGACTCAATGAAATCCATTCGACCTGTTAATTGAGTTATTTCTTCCTTTAAACTAGTTACTGTTTTTTCTGTTGTCTCAATAAAAGATATATATCTGGACAATTTCTCTTTTAGAGCAAGTTTTAATTTTGAATCGAAACAAAGTCGAACTTTTTTAAGTTCTTCTTGAAGTTCTGGTAAGCTTTTTAAGTTGCATATATTGTAACCATCCTTGAAACCATTATTCAATTTACAAAGAGTATCTTGTTGCTCAAATAACCTAGGTTTTTTAACTGACGGACCTTGAGTACATGGATCACAGTCATTATGATTTTCAACAATTACATCATCCAACAAAGTGCAATTTGAATTAGGAATAGGTGTATTCTGTGTAATGTTAAAAGAATCTGTTACATCTGCGTTACAGGACAGATCTGACATGACAAACAATCCACTTAAGCATAAGTAAATGAGACCTACAATAAGATGGAAAAAAACAAAGGAGTGAAGATCCAGAAAGAAAACATAAATATCAGAACATACCTTATTTTTTACCTGACAATTATTATAATTGTATTTATTGAATCTAATTTGACAATTTCTAGATTTGTGGATTAAAAAACTGTTTGACTTGATTAAGAAGAAAAATATTCTTTTTGTCTTGTACATGTACTACCAATTATATACAATAAGTCAGTCCTAAGCCCAGTAGAACCTAGCACATATGAGCATGGGTTCACGTTGCTGTACCCTACTAACACAGCAAGATGAAACCATCGACACAAATGGTAGAATAGTAGATGAAATAACAGTATCAATGGTCATAGAAAAGATTGGGTGTACACAATATGACATTCAAGAAGAATAATGACACCTACAAACGGTTATCTCCTTCACATGAAGTCATATTCATAAATATTTCGATTAACTAATATTATTCATAATTATTTACATAATTAGTTGTAGTGTAGGATCAGCAAACTGGTAAAAAGAAATTTCTGAAACGTGTCACAGCCATATCCGACATAAAATTGATTTGCGACTGGAACTTCCAGTGGTAACTAACTTATACACTAGAGGCTCACAGGATCGACCAGGTTGCATTTTTTTGTACTAAGGTTACTGATACTATTTGGTTGCCCAAACCGAAGTAGATATAGCGTGCTTCGAATGTGAAACCATATGGTTGAGCCGATCGCTTTAACTGCTAAATCATCACTGTGATAAATCCCCACGATTGTATACTCTATACACATAAAGTTTTATTTATAATATTACATCCAGACAACCATCCTATGATTCAAGGGGGGAGGAAGTCAATATTTCAGAACATTTCTGAACGGTAGACAAAGGTGGTGGTAGGATCTCCGGACATCTGTTGCAAAGAAAGATCACAGACGTTAGTCACACTTACCTTAAATTACCTTGAGAAAGATTGTGTTCGTATATGAGCTTCCTATTTACATCGCAGTTTTCTATAGAAACGGTTGTCTTGGACACCATCAGGGTGGCGACTGATACTAACACTCACCCTATCTAGCGGTAGCCGGCTCGTCGGTGAGTGGTTAAGCTACCCGTATCTCAAGAAAAAAACCACTTCATCTAATTTGACTAAGTTAGACAGGAAGTATCACTACTGTTCAAGCAAAGTACCACCTAGTCAAGTGAAAGATCATCCATCGCGTAACACTTATGCTTGGAAAGAGATATGATTTTCAAGTAATAAAATGTTTACTGTCAGCAACTAAGAATCAAGACACTTGTCTTTACTGTAATATGACCAATTATTTTATACAAAGATTAATACTGAACCTTGCCTTCTCAGTTTGAAACAACAGTAATGGCGTAGATCCCAACCACTGACAAATGACAGCGTATGTATAATTTTACGTGGTTTGTCTTTAGAATATTTTCTTGATATGCAAGGTCTGGATGGAAACAGAATCGTTAGGACAACTGTATGAGTGTCCTTGTTCGTAAATCATTATTTTGAAACATGCAGTGAAATACTGAGGTAGTGAATCTTGGATAGAACAATCAGGACATGGATACTTTCTCACTTCGAAACTTTTGTGAGTCAAAACTCTTCAACGATCTTGATGTCATCCAAATTCAGTATGCAAGAGGTTTACACAACAGGAACAATTGGTACTTAGAACAACCGGTCTCGAAATTCTTCACTTCCTTACAAACACAGCCCGTTACACAGTAACAATGTTAACTGGGATTTTTATGCATATTCTGTTAACTACTAGAAGCCATGACCAGAATCATATTTGGAGCCAAATACTTTACCTAGTAAATCGCGTCTGGATTTACTTCCCAAGATAATTATTTGAGTGCGTAATGTTGCGCATCTGGGAAAATGATGTGTCCGACTATCTGAATCATTGTTTGGTAGACGAAGACGATGAATGTGATTGGTCGAGATATAATACTTCTGTAAATCATCTGTCATACAGGGAAGCAATCTGGGCTACATAAATTGATGGATAATACACACCACATTTAGTTAAATATTTTTGTACTAAGTCAATAAAGTAAGTTGGATGTTCTCTCGGGAGGAAGTAGCGTTCTGTGTGAAACTGAGCTAAGCATACCTTGGAGATGATCACCTTCAAGTGCTAATGGGATGAAAACTTACAGTCCCGGGGAAGTTAATATATCGAGACCCAAACATTTAGGCTCAGAAACAAGCCATGTTATCATTTTATTCGAACAATCCGCCCAAACACATGTTAAGGAAATTAACAGTCGTCCGGACCACAGCAATGTAAAATGTAGCGGATTTATTGAGTATCGTGACACATTAACAAGGATTCAGGACGTATAATATTCGACATAATTACGAACTAAAGTATGGTATACTCAACTTGTAAAGACGATTACCACAAAGAATGTGCTGTCTATGATACAAAAGATATTCAGGTATATTTTATCAAGAAACTATGCAGTCATATTTGCGCAGAATGTGTAACCGAACCATGTACAGTTGTGAAGCACATATCAAAACAAACAATAACATACCGGCAATACAATACACGCGTAACCCAGCAGCGGAGAAGAGGTGAGTGCTTAGTTCGGTGCAACAGAAAAGAGCATAAGCATAATGCGAAAACCCACACTAATCAGCTCGTCTTGATTATAGAACTTCAAAACAGTGGGAGTCTTGAGCGGTTAGCGAATAGTTAGTAAAACACAGATACAATAACTACAAATCACTTTGCAGGATCGATTTGTTTAAATGAACTATGTAGTAGTAGCAACCAAAGTGACCAAGGTGCCGTGGTGTGACAAGTGGGATACCAAGACACATATATGGTAGTCAATGTTTCCAAGAAATATAAATCGACGACAGATAAACCTCCAAATAATTATGTAAAACACTGTCAAGGTCGTCAGCAAATCCTGTAACCTTGACGCCATATTGTGGTTACTTTGATCTACAAATGTCTAACAGTGATGCAGTGTTCTTGATAAATCTCGGTTATTTTCGAGTTAATGTACAGTGATCAAATATTGTAACGGCTACGTACTTACGAAGTTGAGCACAGAGTTTGTAATTGCATAAGGCGGTATCACAAAGTCAAACAAAACGTATCCTATTGATATTCTATAATAATTAAATATTTTGTCCGAGAACAACGTGGTATTCGCCGTCGGAAAGTTTATTTTCACATTCACCGTTCCCGTATTTTTGTGTTTATTCGATAGGGTTGTTCATTGAACCCTGTATGTGCTTAAAGAACGTTAGTTGCATTTCTCAAAATCTTTCTGTGTTCTTACCCAATAAATAAACCATTTCGATCCACGGAATCTGTCTAGAGCTTAACGTTTGCTATGTTACTTTTCTGTCTGAGATTTACCCTAGTCAATAGTTGACTATGTTTTTTGTCTCAGCCTTCAGTTTTACACATCAAAGATAGTTTTGGTGTATCTAAACCTTCTGTACCACCCGTTTTTTATCCACTTTACTTGTTTTGAGTGTATTGCTTTTTGTTTTACGATCGTAAACCTTTGATAGGATCTGTTAAGCAACTCACACCACCAGAGTCATGAAGAACTCATGCAAGCGGACTGGATGGAACTTCGCTATCACTTGTGTCATGCAGTGTGAAAAATGGAAAAATTGGTTTCATGAAGCATGCACAGATATTACAGTATCTGCTTACTACAGACTCTGTATGTCGGACCGTATGTGGGTATGTGACATATACAACATAAATGCTGAGGATTTGCTGAGCAACATCATCATTATTTGGACAACTTTGAGAAAAAGGTTGTCAGCAAATTTGAGAAAAGACAGTTCTGAAACAGATAAACAAAGACGCACAGTGAAGTAAAGAAGCGGATTTTCGATAACGTTAGCATCAATCGAACATTCATCGACATTAGTGAGGATGTAGTGATTCACATTTATCACGAGAACACGACTGGTTTAATAAAAATGATTATTATTATAACCAACTGTACCAGTGCTTATTTTAATGTGCTTTTGTTTGACTGTGCTATTGACAGCTATATTGTGCTTCCATTCTTATTCTCACACTTCGATTGTAAGTTCGCGCGAATTCGGTTACCTTCTGTAACCAAGCTTGTATCCTGGTACGATTTCGGTATCCTTTCGATACCACGAGATCGCCAGCGAATATATCTCAATTTGGTCCATTAATTGCCTTCTGATATTTGGCATCTCGGTGATCTTATGGAGTCATTTGGAACGAGTTTCTTGGTAGCGGTGTTCATAGTCCATCTCCACTCGACACCACGCTACAAGGACATGCAGATGCTCAGCATCACCATCTCTCAGCAAAGTTGGGTTTCTTGGCACAGGCTCCCTAGATGCAACTGTGGCCCCCGAAAATTCTTTAGGCTACTGGAGCACGTTAAAAGAGTTAATAAGTATCGAGTGTCACCGCCCGTATCTTGTAGTGAAATCAACTGGTGATTTGACCACGCAATCTACACCTAAGTTTATCCAACTGGTCTGTAAAGAGCACAAGGATCCGAGACGCATTTCAACTCCCCAACAAGGAGAAAATCAACCTCAACGTACCAGGAAACTTGGGAAAATGGTTACAGTTCGCGATGACTCACTCATAATCATGAATCCTAAAGATAGCTATGACATTCCGCTCAGTCTGCAGGACTAAAATCACAGGATGCCCTGAAAATAGTTGAATTACGAATATTATTAAATATTACAAATGTCATTCGTTTAGTTGAACACAAAGCTCAAACTCCATAAAACAGCTACCGACGGTTACATTGCTCACTTGGGGTAAAGTCTGCAAGCACAAAAGTTACTCAACGAATCATTCGTGTAGCGTTCACCAACATTGCCAACGTAGATGACGCTATGACGGCTATTCACCTTCTGCAATCAGACGAGGTTATAATAATACTACCTGGCACACCATATTTTGAGTATAATCTCATCAGGAGCGTCTCTAAGGAATCTCGCGAGACATTGTTTCGCGGAAGAAAACATAGATCATGAGTACGCAGACGCCGATATTCAGTAGTGGAAATTCATTAGGCAGTCGTTGAGGCTCAAGAACATATTGACTAGACAAGTGGTGAGACTAACCAAGAAGGATGAGGATTCTAGACCCCGATTATTGAAGATAACCCGCTGATCCTCCCATATGTCGGCTGTCACTCTTGAAGTATTTCATGCCAACAGACGTCGGTTTCCAGTTGGAATCCACGTCCATTTGGATAGACCACATTATGACATGATTCAGCACAAAGACAAGTTGTAGCTCACTATCTCACTTGTAGACTGTCAAGATCATGAAAAAAACGTAGAGAGTATAGGATCAACCAATTTGTAAATCCCTATATATGTAGGTGTCTTTTCCATTCACGTAAGGCTCATACAGATTAACAGGACGGGGAAAGTATAAACTGCCCATGTATGAACACTACAAAATTACCAAATAAAATGGATAAACTGGGTGAACTCAGTAATGACAATAATACTCATCTGAGAAGAATATCAGAAACATGAATATCTTCTCAAACTAGGAGCTAACAATGCTCGGCATGTCTTTGTTCCGCAACGACAGAAAAACAGGGAGAAGGACGGAGTAGCTATGTACCTGTGACCTTGTTTGGTAGTACGTCCAGTGCACACCTAAGAGTTTGTCAATCTAGACGAAATTGTAGGGTGCTCAGTGAGATTGTCTAACACCTTGAGATGTCTAGTTGGAGTCATCTACAGAACGTTCACTGTTGACACTGAGTTTGACAATCATATGGTGGAAGGACAATCTTACTCTACTCGCCTCGGATACATTCATATCTTGATTCTACTTACTTACTTACTTACGCCTGTTACTCCTCGTGAAGGAGCATAGGCCGCTCATCAGCATTCTCCATCTAACCCTGTCCTGGACAATCCTTTCCAGCTCCTATCTTGATTCTAGGAAATTCAATCTTCTCAAAGTCAACTTCGCTAACCACACGAACATTGGGGGTGACAAACCTTCTGAAACCCGCTCCGTCCACCTCATTAAAGACCTGGGATTATTCGAAAATGTCAAGTCGGCAACTCATCGGAGAAACAGTCAAACGCCGTCGCACTTAGACTGAATTTTTACGAAAGAGGAATTCCCAATTGACAACTTCCCACTCTTGGCTCCTCTGAATGAAAGTAATCACACTTTCATAGCCTTCAATCTTAACAGCGAATATGACTTAAAAATCTCCACCAACAACCGGCGCTGGAATTTAAAACGGTTGGATGTGTCAGCTTTACAGGACAATCTACAGCGGATGGACCTGAAAGTTCACTCTCAACTTAATGTGGATGCTCAATAAGATTTCTTACTGCACATTACCTTATATGCTGCATGGCAGCACGTTCAATAAACTGTCCCCAAAAACGAAAGGAAACCTACAGTCATTGAGAAGCGTACTCTTCGTTTCCTAAACCACCAAAGACTCTACTGGGCTGAATACTGACGAACTAGTAACAACAGCGTACACAGACGATCCAAGCAAGCAAAGTATCAATAAACAAAGACAGTAAGAGAAAACAGGCTTCAGTCTCAAACAAAACTAATCGGCAAGTTTTCTTCACCTCGGATAGTTTGTTCCATCGTGCAGCCTCTCTTCGACAGTGCAAAACCGGAGTTTCTTTTCACCCCAACAGCGCGATTTGAGAAATGGTCAATCTTGTATAACTAACCTGCTGACCACTGTGGGCTGGTGGACAAATATCCGTTGCCACAAGGTGGAGGTTGGCGTCATATACATCGACTTCTCAAAAGCTTTTGATAGGGTCAACCATATATATCTTATCAATAAGCTCAAACGATTAGATATCAAATCACCTTCAGTTGTCTGAATCACTTCATATATAAAAAGTCGATATTTCAGGGACAGGGTTAACATCACATTTCTAAGGCTAGAGGATGTTCTAGTGAAGTCTCCCAAGGTTCAGTCCTTGAATTTCATGTTTTCTTGATTTATATAGACGATCTTCCACGGCAGGTGTCGCCAGATTCATTACATTTTACCGACGATGTGAAACTATAAAGAGAAGCATGCAACCAAGGGAATAAACCAGCACTTCATGAGGATCTGACTCGAATTCAAAGTTGGGCGAATGACGACGGACTTACCCTTATCACTTCAAAGTACAAGGTAGTTCATTTGAGACATGTTGCAGATCACAAATACAACTTAGGTAATTCCCTTTCGAAAAGTATCTCAAGTCGAAAAAGATCAAGAGGTGTTGGTACTCTATAAGCTGAAATCCTAAGCTAACAGCGGCAAGAATGCTTTTCGAATAAACCTTGCACTGGAGATGTCGAAGCCCATTTTTTTACCATTTCGATAGATAAACTTCCCACATCATCTTCAACAGTTTTGTTCGTCCCCATTTGTGCTACAGAGCTGTTGTATTTCCTCCCTTACTCCAAAGGGATAAGGTTACATCGAACATATTCAAAGGAGAGCCACGAAAT